TTTGTAGATAGCAGAAATCACAAATTATTAAATGTGTCAAACCTGTCACCTATTTAAAAACTTATATTATAACTAATGTTGCGTGTTTCAAGACATTCCTAATTAAATGGATTTAATATATGATAGAATCTTTCACTTAATTAAAGTTTGTTCGTTTGAATAATTGCGTAGCATAACACTAATTTAAAATAATACAAACAAAATATTTTTTTTAAAGATTCCCCAACATTTGTCATATCATTCAGCATATTATAAAACTATTAAGGTCACACAATATTACAAATTAGTAAGATTATTATTAGGCTCTAAGGATTTTATATACATATTTTTCAACAAATATGAATATTTTTATACTGAATCAGGGACGGATCCACATTGTGCAAAGGGGGGGCTATTGTCCCCCCCCAAACTTTTAATTTTGCCTATTACATATGTATGTATATATATTTTAAAACTTTTAATTTTTAATATATATATAGATAGATTAAACGTATTTAAAACATATCCAATTTATATGCTCCCATAATTATTACAAATTATTGTATATGACTATTTACTAAGTAGTTTTAATTACATAATATATTTTTTAAGTACCCTCTCAACATTGTTTCATAATATTTTGTGTTTGATCTTATGTACAATTAAAAAATTAAAGAGTAAATTTGGAATAGAAGAACATGCAACATATGCAATTCAATGGTTCGAAAGAGAATTGTTAGAGCTTTTAATACCGCAATAGGCCTTCTCTAGGGCTACTTAATAGTTAAACGACCACACTCTTCCAACAAATATATTTATACTTTCATACTTAAATGTCATGCTTTATAATGCAATACAAATAATAGTATGGCATTTCATAGAATAATAATGGATTTTTTGCAAGAAAATATATCTGTCTAACAATTAGACAGCCCATCAATTATAGCATTTGTGTTAATATCGATTCAGTTATCAATGAGTTTCATAAGTGTAAAGAATATTGTGCATTTAAACTACCAAAATTAAGAAGTTATGTATTTTGCTGTACAACTTATTAATTATTTTATCCATTTTAAAATACAATTTTATGCCTATGTGTGTGTGTGAGAGAGAAATAGAGATATATTAAAAATTATATGGTTCCCTCGAAATGTTATAATTATATATTTGTGCCAAGTCAAGGTGAATAACTCATGTTTAAGCTTGTTGTAATTTAATAAATGAATCAGGTCGACTAACGAATAAATAAACAAAAATATGAGCTCAAACTCTGTTTGTGTAAGCGTCAATCTACTCGATTTTTTTAAAAGAAAGTTTGAATAGTTGTTGTATTTTGATTCAATTAAATATATAAATAATGTGAGATCAAATTTTCACAAATTGAACAAACACAATTCGATTTCAATAATTGCTTTAGCCCCTCCCAAATTTTTTTCCTAGATCCGTCCAGGCTCATCGTTGCTCACCTTCGCCAAAAATCGCCGGTATTTCAAAGGATTTATAATTTTTAGAATTTAAAAAAAAATTGTCAGGGACAAAATAATCCAAAAAAAGGCAATACGTAGTACTAAGGAGGCGACAAATATTAACACACTTATCTATTACTATATAATAGAGAGAAGAAAAAATGTTTGAAAAATTATTTCATTTTACCGCTCAAATCACTTTTTTCCCTCTAATATTTTGTTTGAAATTTTTTCGAAAGTTTGAATTTTTTTCATTCCGAGATTCAGTATGTTTTGAATGAGATTCCTTCCATATCGGATAAATTCAAGTTCCTTTTCATTTGGAAAATATATTTTTATTTTAGCAATATATTTGACTTCTTTTTTTTTTAACCGATTATGTTGGTCTTCTGTTTAAAATTGAATTTTTTTTTAATTAAAGATTGTACCAGTTTTCTAAACATGATAAAAACATATCACTTCAAATATTTTTTAAAATTGAGGATTCCAACTACTATTATTAATGTGATTAGTACTAACTAATTTTGTTAAATAATATCTTCATTGATTCACCCCAACACGTTTGATAGGTCGGTTCATGAGTCAGTTATGATGCATAAAATCACACAATAGTGACTATTTAATATAAAACTATTTAGAATATAACAATTCAAAAATTGAGGATTCCATATAATGTAGGTTCAAAAGCTACGAATTGATTTATTCCAAAAATTGAGGATTTCATATACTACAAATTGATTTATTCTACAAATAATTCACAACTTTACGGTATAAATAATACAATATGTACATCATTTCCCTTAAATATTTGATCAACCAACACGATTTTGATGATAATTTTTCAAATTGATCTGTATTCCTTTTGAATATCAGAAAGATTTTTGAACAAATATTAGTTAATAAAATTTAAAAATTGTAATTTAATTTTAGAGAATTAGTTGATAAATTTGAACAATAAGGTAACCGAAAAAAAATCTAAAAAATTGAGAGATAATATATATAAAGAATTTATTGTGTAGTCTAAATTTGGTTTCCAAATTTAAAAGTCAAATAAGTTATTCTTAATAACTTAAGGGTTAGTATTAACTTGGACGTAAATAGAATAATCAATTATTTATAGTTTAATAAATTATTCAACTACTTAATTTTTTTATTTAGATAGTTGATACAAAAATAAATTCAATTTAATTAATGAAATAATATAGTTTTATAACTGTACTTATTATTCACATAGATTTTTATATATTCATAACATGTTATCAACATTATTATTTTATGGAATTACATTATAGTTAAATTGAATTTCTGAATGAAAATTTTAAAATGACACTTAATTTGAAATTATATTGTAATTTATTATTAGTTACGTTCACCGTAGGGGTTGTGTACTAATTTTAAATAGACATGTTTTTTATAATTTTGCACAATTTAAATTTCATATAACATTTTCAATAAATTTAATATAGGTGAATTGTATTACAATTGATTCCATATTTTTAAGTTATAAATATTATTTAATGTGTATTTTTAATTTATAAATATTAATAAATATCTTCTACCCCTGCATAGCACAGGATTCGTATTAGTTAAAGAAAATAGAACCAAAATAAATAAATATTTAATTATTTATATAAGAACTAGAAAGGTGTTACTATATGGTATCTAATCTCCCTAATAAATATCTCCTACCCGTGCATAGCACGGGATTCGTACTAGTTTAAACATAAAAGAGTTTGAGGAAGGTAGAAGATGCAAATATTTGAATGTGTTCATTTTTTCAGGTTGTGTGGGTCAGGCTGCATGGACTTCCAATAATCGTAATGTAAATAGTCAATACACTTATTCATCCCTTTGACTTTTGAAATTTGGAGCATATATATAAGCAGTCAACTCTATTTTGAAAGATATATCAACTCAAAATCAACTTATAAAAATATGTACCGGTATTATTATTATTCTACTTGAAGACTTTATATGATAATTGATAAACATATAAGCACCACAATTTTTTTTTTTTTTCCCGAAACGATAGATGAACTATTATAAATCAAAAACGCACAACGTGCGAAGAAAAATACAAAGCTCCCAACGGGAGAATAAAAATGGGAGGACAAGTCTGACGACCGCCTAGAATCCCGAAACTAGCAACGCTAGAAACCGAAAGACGCACAACACAAACCTACAACACTAAGAAAAACTACAAGGCTCCCACCAGGAGAATAGAGACGGAAGCAGATCCCAACAGGATAATAAGTGTGCTTCCGCTCAAAGACAGAGGCTAACTGCCCAGACCAAAAACACAAACACAACAAGCACAATCCTAATCAACAAACTAAAACACTGAACGACAAAACAAAATAGCTAACGAAACTAAACGAGCCCTTCCAAAGTGTTGACACCTAGCCGAACCAGCGGAAACAAGGCGACTGTGAATCCCGCAGCCAGACGAATCGACCCCGAAACTGCCCAAACCACTCGGTTGCCTAACGATGTCGAAACCCTAGCCCCGGAACAAAACAAGCCGCCCCGCAACACGGCCCGAACACCTGATTGTCCGGAACAGACAAGCGAGTGCCCCGGCCCCATCCCCAACCCCATCACGCCTGGAAGCTGCCCGAAGCCACCGCACTGCCGCCTCACCCCTCCTACCATCACCACTAGCAGAAGAAAGAAAAAGAAGCAAACGCCGGCTGCAAACAGCGGCAATTCCCAAATCGCCTAAAAAACTAGGTCTTCGAGCAATTGGGTCTCGTCCCACCCCCAGAACGGCACTACGGCTCCACCACACCGCTCAGCAGAGAAGTCGCCGCCTGGAAGTCCCGAATCGGAGCCGGAAAGACGACGACTGTCCGCAACAAACAAGCCCATCGCCATGGACAGCGGAAAGCGGAGCAAAGAAAAAAGGGTAGGATCCAGGCGGCCAAGGGCCGGCGACCGCCGGCGAGGCTCGATGGACACTTGGGAAGGCCGACGGCTGAGAATCAAAGGGAACTCGACGGGCAGGGAAGGGTCAATTTACTCGTTTGATAGGTCAAACTATTGAAGTTTGCGTAATCTACTAATATTAGTATTTTTAGTAATTTTTTGTCAATTAAAAATACATCATAAATGAATTATAATCTACAACATAATATCAAATAATTATCGTGTTTCATGGAAAGCTAAAGTCTTGAAATAGTGTAAAAAAATTTAGACTCACTCTTAGTGATTTGATCTATATTTAAATATTAAAAATTATTTTTTTTATAAAATTTAACAATGATTTCATCACGTATGTATATTCTTAATGAGAAGAAATCTCATAAATCTACATATATATACATGTATTATTACATAAAAAAAAATTAATAAATTGAATAGCCTTTATTTGTTTTTTGTATTACTAAATAAGTAAATATTTTGATCATATATATAACTCAATTAATTTAGCACTCATAGTGAGCATATAAGACTAAAAATTATTTAATTATATATGTATATATATATATATATATATATATATAATAATAATAAAATTATTATTAAAATTAATTAGAAAATAACATTATTTATCAATTAATATATTTATGTTTAATGTAATTATATGTTATAAGGTAGAAAATTTATTATAATATAACATATATAAGTCGCACAAGTAACACCTGTCATACTAAAATATATAATAATATATACTCCCTCCTATTTTTATTATTTGTCACTTTGGCTTAATTGATCATTGATAAAATAAATGTCGTTTTAGATATTTTGTTCATATTTTTCCATTTTTAACTCCATCTAATACACAGTGTCTCTTCATATCCCATCTCCATCGTTTCCTATAACATCTATTAACTAGGGTTAACATTGTGAAGAAAAAAATATCTTAATTAGTGTGTTGCATTTGAATTGATATTATGAAATCCGTTTGTATATTATTATTATAAATATATATATATATAATACCAAATAGTAATATATATCTTTACAAATAAAATTTAAATTTATTTATCAAACTAAATTAAATTATAAATCAAATAAAACTATAAATTATATTATAAAGTAATAGAAATTGGTATGTATTCTTTTAAAAATGATATTTATTTCAAATTTAATTGGTATGTTGTCAATGTAATAAAAATAAATAATTATTTATATAAATTCAAAAATTACATATAAAGTTAAAAAAAACTGTGAAGCACGATTGATACGACACTTGATGTATTAGGCATCTAATTAAGTAAAAAAATTAATCTATTTTACTTAATATTAAATAAACATATTCTACACTTATGCATATACATATCACCATTGTTTCTATTTATTTAAGATATACATTCAAATCGATCATATCCTATTCGTCCCATAGGTGGTATGGGTAACAAAACTTTAGATTTTACATACTTTTCACATCATATACCAATTTTATCTCACGTTTGCAAATTTCACATTTGCTATTCTAAATATTCAAAAATTGAAACCATAATTCACAAATCAATACCCGATCATGTTAATATGTAATATGGCACCATTCTTATCAGTACATATAGCAACTTTTTAGTGAAAAATACTTAATTAGTACTTACCTATCAGGCTGCCACAAATTGTATATAATAAAATAATCAAACTCTAGATCTTTAAAATTATGTTTTAAATCCAAATGTGAGTTAAACAATAAAAAACTTCAGTTAACATTAACTGTATGTAAATTTTGTACATTATGGTATTTATATACGTGGGGTGAGTTTCATATTTAACAAATTTCATTTATGGTCCACTTTAAGAATTTTTATATATATGTCGCAATTTGGTCAACTTAAAGATACCATTTGCTTTTGTACAACCGCGTAAAATGATGCTTATGACTGCAAATTATTTCAAAACAGGTTGAAACTAACATNTTTTGATAAAGTGAAATAATTTGTAAGAATACATATAAATTATGTGTAATCGAAAATTATTTTTTAATAAATATAATTGTACAAATAATTAAATTAAAAAATTTAAATATTTTATTAGTTAGTACTATTATTATTTTAAAAAATATAATTGTACAAATAATTAATTTAAAAAATTTAAATATTTTATTAGTTTTTAATATTATTATATAATATTTTTATTTTTATATATTATTTTATAGTGTAGTTTATTATTTTATAAAGTGCAACGTGTTATTTTATAAAGTGCAACATATTGTTTTATAAATGCAAAATTGTTTGTTTATAAAGTGGAATAATTTGTAAGAACACATATAAATTATGTGTAATGGAAAACTATTTTTTAAAAATATAATGTTACAAATAATTAATTTAAAAAATGTAAATATTTTATTAGTTATTACTATTATTATATAATTTGTTTATTATAATATATTATTTTACAGTGTAGCTTCTTATTTTATAAAGTGTAACGACTTATTTTATAAAGTGCAAAATATTATTTTATAAAGTGCAAAGGTGTTTGTTTATAAAGTAAAATAATTTATAAGAACACATATAAATTATGTGTAATCAAAAACTATTTTTTAATAAATGTAATTGTACAAATAATTAATTTAAATAATTTAAATATTTTCTTAGTTATTACTATTATTATATAATTTTTATATTATTATATATCGTTTTATATTATCTTTATATTTATATTATTTTTATTTAATAATTTGTTTATTATTTAATATATGTGTATAACAAAAAAAAACATAAAAATAATTTTTTAATAACTTTCAATAATTACATATTTGGCATGTGGGCTTAATTGAAATAGAATTAAAATTCCTACAATCACAACTAGGTCCCTAAACTTAGTCTAATTCTCAAAAGAACACCCCAAATCTCACACCCCAAAACTCAAACCCGTCGCCGTCAGCCGCCTGTTTCCGTCGCCGCCGCCAGCCGCATATCGTGTGCCTTCAGCAACAGCCTTCCACCATCTCGCCGCCCCCGCCCGTTCGTCATCCTCTGTCTGACTCCCATCTCAGTGGGTTGTCGCCGGTCACGCGAGTTCCCGGCTGCACCCATCCGCCTTCCTCCATCGTTGACGACGTTAACTCTCTTTCGTTCGGCCGCGTCGGAGGACATTTCGACGACGTGAAACACGTCGGATCTCTCTGACGGCGTACGACCGCGCCGGGCGGCGGCTTCGAAGGTGGGTATGGCGGCGGCGGTTTGCTGTGTGAAGGCACTCGCGAGGTCTTGCTCTGGTTGATCTGTTGGTGGTGGCCGCCGGGTGTTGTGTGTGTGTGTGTGTTTCAGATTTGAGATCTGATCGATCGTGAGGAAGAAAGAAAATGATGAGAGAGAAAAAAGTGGAAGTGGTCAATTGGTGTGTGGGTCCCACTATTTATGTATATTGGCCAACTTACCCTTATTTATTGGTCAAATACACATATTTGACCACACTATGATCAAATAATTACCAAATTGCCATTAATGATTGACATAGTTGACTTCATCATAACCATTGATATGTTGGATCCAATGATCCAGACTCATTCTCATTTCTCGAATTAAGAGTCATTCTCATATGATATTTTTTCTCTCTCTCTCTCTCTCTATATATATATATATATATATATATATCCAGCCACTAACAGTAGCAGAATAAGTAGTTGCTTCATCGAGAAGAAGAAAGAAAAGAGAAAGTACCGAATAAATGGGATTTCTCAAATATATATATATATATATATATATAGAGAGAGAGAGAGAGAGAGAGAGAAGGGATCCTATGAGAATGATAGATAGTGAAAGAAATAAGAATGATTTAGACCATTGGATCCTACATATCAATGGTCGTGATAAAGTCAAAATTTAAATAATACAATCAAATATACAGTGGCAAATCGTAAATAGTGTATATTTCGAGGTCAAATATACCCATGTGTCCACTTACTAGGGATAAGTCTGACCTTACACATATGCCATGGGACCCACCACTAACCTTTTATCTACAACTCCTTTCTCTCTCTCACAATTACACCAAAAACACACACCACACACACTTAATTCGAACACACACACACAAATAATTTGTCACCGTCGGACGCCGCCGAACAGCAACAGTTCACCGTCTTCCGCCGCGCCTCAGCCAACAGGTCACGAGACGACAAGCGTCCACCGGTGCATCCCCTCCATTGCAGCTCCGCCGCCTGCCAATGGGACTCCGACGAGGTGACATCGACTCAATGTCGATAACATCCACTCCGTCGCCATCGACCGAGGCCTTTACCTAGAAAACCTCCGCCAGATCCTCGCCTTCCTCAGCCGTCTGCCCATCGCCAGTCCAGCACACACCAAATAAACACACACTCAGCTCTGGTCGACGTCCCAGCCACTGAAATTTCTGTCACCAGCCACGCCACCCGACGGATAGGAGAGAAGGCGTCGTATAGTAGAGAGACGCCGCTGATCTTGTCGTCGCCGGGTTCCGATAAGGAAATAAGGTGGTCGGAGAAGATGCCAAAGCGGTCGGCCGGTGGAACAAGTAGCGAGGACGATGAAGGAGTCACTGGAATAGGCAATCGGACCGGACATGGTCGGTGCGGGGAAAGACGGACGGAAAATGGATCGGCGACGGCAGCCGTGGTCAAGGACGAAGAGTGTCCAAATTTTGAGATTGGGATTTTTCAGTACTACCAGATCGTGGGATTTCTTTTCTTTGTTTTTGAAAATTGGATATTCTAGAAAGACCTAATTGCAATTATATAAAGTTCAATAAATTATATTTAATAAGTAAGACAAATATGTAAGGTAATTTATGTTAAATGCTTGCACATTAGTAGTATTTAAAGTGCACATTATACAATAGATCATGCACATTAAATATACCCATGATAATTTATGAAATTATATAGAGTTGTTCATTAAATATACCTATTATAATTTATGAAATCGAACTGAAATAACTAATTTTTTGAAGGTAAAAATAGATAATCGAGCCGACATATAAATTTCGAACCATAAAACTTTGTTCACTCGGTTTCAATCGGTATTGTGCAATCTGACAGTCATTAATGTGACATTCGTCTAACGCTAAGGTGCACTGGAAGTGCATATTTTTTTTTTTTAATAATTTATCTCAAACCAAACTAAAACTAAAATATATCTAGAATTCTAATGTTTTTATTTAATATCTTATATTTTTTTTTGTAACAAAAATACTATTATTTTATAGTCGGTCGGTTCGATTATTTTAAACAATAAAGCTGACAATGGCATTAGATACCAAAATTTTTAAACTTACAAACAGATAATCAAACCAATATATTTTTGAAAATTTTTTATGTGCAACGCGTCATTTTATAAGGTGCAACATGTTTTGTTATGAAGTGCAATACATTGTATATAAAGTGCAACATATATGATATTTAAAGTGCAATACCAGAATTTTGGTACGTTAGCATGCTTATTATTTTTTTTTTTCTACATATGATGTGATGGATATTAAAGTATTATGTAGATCGGTTGTTTAGATTTATATAGCGTAATATTTTGACGATAGATGTTGACATTAATTGTGGAGTGTGTTGATAAAGTGCAACGTGTTGTTTTATAAAGTGCAGCATGTTGATATATAAAGCGCATTATTTTACTACTGCAATTGGCAGGTTAGCATGCTTGTGTTTTTTGGGTACGGATGATGTGATGAATGTTAAATTATTACGTAGATATATTTTTAGATATATGATGTGTGGTATTTGGCGTAAGCTATCGACGATAATTCTGGATTGTATAAAGTGTAATGTGTAGTTATGTAAAGTGCAACACTTAATTTTGTAAAGTGCAACGTGATGATATATAAAGTGTCTTACTTTATATGATATGAGATAAATTATGTGTATTCAGAAACTAGATTTAGTATATATAATTATACATCACATTAACCAAAATAACTGAAATAATTTATTTTTTATTTTTATTAAAGTATACTTTACATTTTTTTTTAAATATATAATATATATTATTTGGCCATTGTATAGAAAAATAATAATAGTAATAAAAATCAATTATAGAATAAGTATAAAAAAAAAAATCAATTAGCCTTGCCTTCTTCAAGCTCTCTGCTCTTACCAACGGTACGGTTGAAAATAAAAAAAAATATATTTTTTATACAATTTTTATAAATTACAAATTTGGCCCATGGACCAAATTGGAATTGAACTGAAATTATGTAAATTGCAATTGGGTCCTTGAAAGTTATCAAATTCTCAAATACAAGCCCCTAAATCCAAATACTTTTATAGTCATTTTCCGGCACTGAAATTCGACGGCGTGCCTTGCTCCGCCGTACGCGGAGCTGCCGGCAGTTGGAAGGCCACTATTGGCTGGGAACGGAATGTCGCCGGAGCCGATTTTGCTAGATTTCCAATCGTTTCCCGATCTCACGCCGGCGACCGAGACTATTCTTCCATTGTAGGCAACGAAAATGGCGAAGTGAGCGTCGTTAACGGAGGCTTGAGTAGACTACATTTTCTGGCGGAGATGTGGCGGCGACATGGTCGGAATCACTGCTGGAGATTTTGTGCGTGAGTGTGTGTGTATAGTGTACTTCTGTGTGTGCTCTGCAGATAATGGCAACCTCACAGGAGATTTAGGACACCGACGGCAACGGCTACTCAGAGGACGAAGATGGCGGCTACTGAGAGGCCGAAGACGGCGACGGCTACGCTTTCCCGGCGTCCATGTCGGAGGCCATTGTATGGAACGATGAGGACGAAGATGGCGGCGGGAATGGTGGATCTGGAGGAAGACGG